CGCTTAAAAAGAATAGGTTGCAACTAAAAACACTAAACACACATACAAATCTATTTTTATTAGCTTTATCATCATAACACTACAAAGTTTATAGTGGTTTCTTAAGACTATTTTGCAATGATTACCTACAAACACATTACCATGATACGCTTGTCGCTTAACCTTCATATCTTCAAGGGCCTTATTAAGAGACCTCATATGAGTCCCCATGCTACTTTAGGAATTTTGTCTAGATTTGCAATGTCTACAAATTGATTTCCTAATAAATGCAAAGTTTCTGCTGTTTTAGAACATTCAATGCTTTTAGCAGCCCGCAATTCATTTGTTCTCACAATCTCATTATGCAACAAAGACGAATCAGCTTGACAATTTAAATTCCTACACTCCTTCAACAATAACTTATACAGTTTTAACACAACTCCTAACATAATATGCAAAACAGGTGGCACTACATTATCTAAAGTTATTATGGCGAAAATTACAGGAGCAATAATTGATTTGTGAAACTTACCTAGAGCTCTTAAGTTTCCACCTTGTCTATCTTCACACAAGTTCTCAATAAGATTCTTAAGATGTTACAATTAGTAGGTGTGTTAGGCATAGAAGCATGGTTTCTAAGAGAATTCAATTCAACTAGATCTGTACAAATAGGAAAGCTAGCAGCTAAACCCTAGTGTCCCATAACATCATCGATGAAATGAAAATCTCCACCTAAGAACAACCTGACTATTTTGCCTTTTTTAGCTTAAAATCTGACAACTGAATTCTTTTAATGTCATTGGTATAATGCCTGAGAAGGCAATATTCTTGCGACAGTCTGAACCCTGATACATACAAAACAAATGAACATCATATATAGACCCTGATGATTTAGAATTGACAACTTCAAAATGGAATTTCATATATTTTCCACCCTTATTCCCAGCAAAAAAGAGCCATAACTCTTTGCCAAAACCAACATCCGAATTAAGGAGGTCGCGTACATGAAGATTATTAAAAACCTCTTCAATATAAGTTGTCCAATTCATGACCATCAGTACAGATACTAAACAAGGTGCTTCATTCGCAGATGGATAAAATAACATGTGCTTCACAGTAACATGTTCTTTATTGACATGCATTGTTTGCATTTCTTGTTTTTATCTTATCTTGGGCTCAGATGGAAGAATCCTTGCACCAAGATTACACAGAAAAGGTCTTAGCCTACGGAATTAATTTGACTCTGCAGCTCTACAGCATCAGAAACACTTAACTGCCTACTAAACCTAACTTATTTGCAACACAACAAAACATAGACTTATCACAAAACACAGAATCACAAAACAACATAGACAAATCACTTTCTAAATCTAATAGTCGAAAGAATATTAAAGCAAGTTTAGATGGTCTAGCTGCAGCATGCCTACCTAACTTAGAATAAGGCTTACCATATCCTAGTTTAATGTAAATATATTTTTTACCAACTATTGGCCTTTTAACTGATATAGTCTGTGGATTACTTAATTTAAATCCACAGAAAAATTCAGAGGAACCAAAGTTGTCATAGTCTAAATAAGAATCAACAACAACTAAATCCATGGCAATATAAAGCTCAAACAATGCTTTTGACTTAAAAACTGACATTAAAATTGAAATTACATTGTTAGTCATTTTATCGATGCTAATTAATCGCTTAACAAATGGAAAGTTACACTCATTTTCCCAACTATCGTCCCATTCAATCCATTCTATTAATATTTTCCTTTCAGTAGAATACATAATGATAAATAAATCTCGTAATAATAATATAACACAAACAATTCAAATAAAATAATATTTATTGACAAATAGATGAACAAGATATGATTAAAAAACTTATCTGATGTTAGTTGATTACTCACGAGAAAGAAAAACTGCCAAACTTTGTTTTATTTATACTTCAAAATTTGTCTTGCTAAGACAATTGTTTTCATAAAATTTGTTACATATTGGGTTGGGACGTACATTATTTAAGGTCACCTGATTGTTTAAAAATGTAAACAATATTTTGCAAAAAAAACAAGAAAAATTTGTTTCTAAACTAGCCAAGTTTGAAAACATGTCATAACATAGCTGGAGGTACAGAAAACAATTTTTTGATTTTCATATGCAGAAATTTCGATAAAAAAAAAAAGGGTTGAAATTTCGATAACTTAGGGCGGATTACAAAAATAATATGATTTTCATTATTTAATAATAAAAATAAAGATATAAATGCATTAAAAAATAATAATAATAAAAAAAAATAAGCAAGCCGCACCAAATATTAGATAGAATAGACATTTATTTATATATGTTCCGAGTTTCAACTATTAACATGTAGCTATGTTAGAAAATTTTAGTTGATCCAAGACAGGTTTTCCGTAAAAATCACAAAAACAGAAAAGTGATCCCAAATCATTAGCAATATTTACACAAATTTAATGGAAATATTTATTAAATAACAAAAGATAGATCTTTTATGTTTTTTTTATTTGAAGATGAAAGCATTTATAGAAAAAAAAAATTTATTTTAAAGTTAGTGAATTTTTATATTTTTTATGCGGAAATACTTTTTTTTTGATAAACTCATGACATCACACTCACATTTAAATAGAGTGAAACAGCCGTGCACAGCGTAAAAATTGCTAAAAGGTCTTCTTGACTATTTAGGGGTCTGGGGCTATAGCACCCTCTAACCTCAACCCTCCTAAATCCAGCACTGGAAATAAGATGTGAGTATATAAATAAAAATTATAGTATACTTTTTAATAAGTAAAAGAACATTTTTTTCCTTATTAGGCAATCATAAGATGTTACTTTATATAAAAAATGTCGCCTAATTTTTTAAAAAAATTATAAAAGAGTGAATTCGAAAATATTTGTTCTAAACGTAATTTATTTTGCATTAAGTTTTTCGCGTTAAAAGTTATTTTCTTTTCCTAGTTTATTATTATTTTTTTTTGTAATTGTCTCTTATGTCATCAATTAATATTTGTTGCACTTTTTATTGTTTCATGAAATGTTCTCAAAACGACTAAAAAATCTGGCCAGTTTTTCGCAACTAAATAATATTTCAGTGGTCAGCAATTGAGAGCGATTGCTCCCGCTTCCCAACCAAGGCTGTTCAAAAGTGTGTCTAAATCTTTGAATTAAAACTTCAACATCTGTGTTCACAATATCTTTTAGTTTTATTCTTCCAATCATTCTACAATAATATGTTTTGTCGCAGTCTTCATTTAAAACTTTCCCCACACAACATTTCTCTGTCATTTTTTACTATTTTTTTATTTTTATTACTAATCTAAAAACTTTAAAAAAGACAAACATATTAAATCTCAAAGAAACTAACAAGTATCAGACACTGCTTATTACACTGATTATGTCATTATTATTAGTACAAATTAAGACAATATGTCATTAAAAAGAAAACTGAATACATTCATTCAAGGATAAATAATAAATATACTACTGTCATCCCTATGACTAATTTTTAGACTATGACCTAAGGCTAGCTCATAGTCTAATAACATTCTCCTTTTGAAAATATCATCACTCTCAAAAGGCTACAAACATGTCATAAGATAGAGTAAGGTCTTTAAATTTTTTTTTGATTGTCTATACAACATTAAAAAGTTTCACAATTTATTTAAACTGTTGAAGATTTTCCAAAAGTCTCTTGAGCCTTCTTCTAAGATAAAATACAAGATTTAGTAAACTGAGAATAATGAAGCTTAATATCAGACTGCACCTTTTTACATTGCTTTCTTGTAATAGTAAAAAGATTTTTTTTTCTCAAGAGAGTTTTTATAAAAAGGAAGGAAAAATTGATTTTGATTAAATATAAAAGCAACACAAGAAAAAGAAAACCATGGAGTAGCATAGTAGGAATGAAAGCTTCCATACCTGCCTCACTCCAAGTAGGTACTTAGGTAGTGTAATTATTAGCTGCAAGATAAAAAGCCTCACTACACGAACAAAATCACAAAATTAAGCTCAGTCAGCTTTAGGTTTATAATATAAATAGTACAATGATAGCCTGAAGAAAAGTTATGAGATAAATGATTTATAGAGATCACTTCATGATCAGAACCACCTATAAAACAACCTATAGAAATACTTGAAATTAAGGTGAACATATGATTTATAGCTGTAGTCTTTAGTTGGTAACTGAGCTAACACTTCACCAGAGATTCAAACAGAAACACAAACACTTTTATAGTTTTTGCGTCCTTAGTTGTTATCCAAGGTCTCATAAGGGTTTTTTCTTTTAATAATTTTGTAACTATGGGAAATGCTTTGTTATAATATTGAAGAAACTTATTTAAGAAGATATCATAGGCCTCATCAGCATTTAAATTTATTAGAGTTTCGTCCCATTTTTCGAATGATATAACATCATGAAAAGATTTGATGGAGGTATCATTAATTAGTCGTTTTGTTGCTTTCCTTTTTTGAGAATAAGACTTATCGCATTTATTTGATATAATAAAAATTGGAAAATGGTCCGAAATATCCGTTTTAAATATTCCAGTTTTTATTTTTGTTGTGAGAAAATCATTTGTAAAAGTTTGATCTATTGATGTTGCATTATACTTAGATACACGCGTGGGTTTATTTATTAATGGAATGTAACCAGGGGCCGGTTCCAGGAAACAACTTAAGTTTAATGGGCCGTTAATAGTTTAATGGTGCATTAAGTATCTTAATGGGGCACTTAGTTAAGGAGCCCATTAAGTCTATTTTAATGGACCATTAAGAGTTTAATGGTCCATTAAATGTAATTAATGCCGCCTTAGCAAAGTTCCCAATTAAAGCTTTAATTTTCTGTTCCACGAAACAAATTATTTGAAGCCTTAGCAAAGTGGTCACTTAAACTAAATTAATGGTGTATTCTAGCGCTTACATGATATGCCAAAGTGTATATTTAAAAATATGTTGGCAAAGTTATAAAAATTAAAAAAATTCTGTAAAATCAAAGAAATTAATACCAAATGTCCAAATACATTTATTGATTTATCTTATTACCAAATCGCTATGTTAAATCTTACATAACTGTAATATTATACGTAGTATCATTATGAAAAATGTTACTCTATAAACAACCTTCGAAATAACTGACGATCATGACCATCATTACAAGTAACATGATCTTGGTCATCTTGATCATCCGTACTTATTTCATTGTCTGGTAATTCAAATCGGTCAGATTGCTTTATTGCAATATTGTGAAGAACAGCGCATGCAGTAACAATGCGACAAACTTTCACTGGCTTCATTCTTATCTCGCCATGAAGGCGGTGAAATCTTCGTTTTAAAATTCCAAACGTGCGTTCTATAATACACCTTGTTTTCCTGTGGACAATGTTGTATTTAACTTCTTGTGGAGAAACAGGATGAGGAATAGGCGTTAATAAATAACTATGGCATGGATAGCCATGATAACCTAAGATAATTTCAGCTTTGACATCATTAGCCAACTCCATTCCAATTACACTGGTTGAAAAAATACGGGAATCGTGCGCACTTCCAGGCCAATCTGCAACAATATTCAGAAATAGACCTTGGCTATCACAAATAGCTCGAACATTAATACTATGATAACCTTTGCGGTTAACATAGTATGGTTCTTGATCTCCAGATGGTGCTTGAATTTTAACATGGGTTCCATCCACAACTCCAGTAATTCCCGGAAAGCCAAAACGTTCAAGAAATCCTTGTTGAATAGATTGTTGAGATGCAATGTCAGACGGAAATGAAATGAAGTTGTCCATCAGCCGTGCTAATAAATCGGTAACATGAGTTACTGTGCGGCTGACACTTGATTTAGCTAATTTATTTGTTGAGTCGCCGATGAGTTCTAAGAATAATCCTGTTGCATAAAAACGCAATATAATCGCTAATTGTTGTTCTGTAGACAGAGATTTACTGCGATGCGTTTGTGGCTCACATTCATTTCTAATAAGGCTGCATATATAGGTAAACGTATGTTTGGTAAAACGAAATCGCTTAAAAAATTCATCATCATCGTAGTCAGTTAAAGGATTTAAGCGTGTAGGGTATGTTTTGATTTTTTTACTTTGCAGATCATTTGCAAGCAAGGGAACAAAAGCCATATTACGGAAATGTTAAATGTACGATAATAAATTATTAATAATGCCACTTATTTAAAACACGAGTCGTAAATGTTTGCGAATAAGAGTATTTACAGTGCTCACAATAAAAGTTGTATTTAAGCAATTTAGTTTTTGTAGACGCTTTATAAATTGTTTTTTTATTTCATGTAATAGCACTTTGGTGTCAATTAGCAGAATACAAACGTAATAAATAACATTGCTGTTGGTTACAATACAATTATAAAAATCATAGCTAGATAAAATAATCGCTATAAGTACGTCATAAAAAACTTTTGAAGACAAACATTGTTAACTGTGTTACTGGTGAACAAAAAGTATTTTCATAATCATTTGTTGAAAATTATTTGCAGTTTATCATTTTATAAATTTGTAATTGTGTTTAACCATGTCTAATTCAAATGATCATTCTGCACCCACTAACTGCAAAAAACCGCGAAATGCAAACTGGTCCAAAAAAGACGCGTGCATTTTGGTGGAACTTTATGAACCATATCATGCAGTTATTGTAGGAGCCTTTAGTTCTACTACAAATGTTACCAGCAAATCAGAATCGTGGCAAAAATTACATCTTAAGTTTAACAATGCGGGAGTTGACAATAAAAGGAGTGAAACTGAAATTCAAAATAAAATAAGCAACATCAAAGATGATACCCGAAAATATGGAGCACTTATACGGAAGCACAAAACTGGTGGTGGTCCACCCCTTAATGAACCACCACTTTTTGTTCAAAAAATGTTTGACATCATGTTTGGATCCACAGGTGATTCCTTGATTGGAATCCAGTCTGGAGTTGAAAGTGGAACTGGGACAAACAATTTGCAGCCGATAAACTTAAATTCTGGCAATGATGTCTCATGTGTTTTCAATAATAGCCTTGAAAATGAAGAGGATGTTCAATTAATCCAACAAGAGGAACCATTTGCGGCACAGAAAAACAATGCAAGCCAGGCACCAACTACATCTCTAATGACACCGACTCCTAAAAAACTTAAAATTGCAACAACAAAAGAAATGTTGCTTCAATCCACGTTACTGGAAGAACAACTGTTGATGGTGCGTGAAAATTGCATGCTCATTGCGGAACAGCGAAAAAAAAATGAACAAGAACTATATAAAATACAATTAGAGACGGTAAAGCTTACTCACGAACTAAACAGATACGGTCTTAACATTCCGCCACAAATGACTGATTTGGAAAATGCTGGCAAGGCACAAAGTTCGCAAGCATATTCGTACATGCAGGATTTATATTCATAGCTTACGTATAAACAATTTTAAATGTAAAATGTTGTAAGTACATTAGTTACGAATTTTAACGTGGTATTGGCATTTTGTATTAGGGTTGATGTTTTATATATTTGTATTTGTCTTTGTAATTGCGTATATGTATTACATTTCTTAATTTGTATACTAACTAATTTTTAACATATATGGCTTTTAATTACTTTTAGTTATCTTGCAAAACTTAAAGTACGTAAAGAGCAACCTTAAAATGCACATTAAAATGCTATATTTTAATGGGGACCGCTAACTTTAATTTTATTTGTGGAACAGAATTAAATTAAGGTGGCAATACCGTTCCACGAAACATTTTAAACTTAATGTCGTTCGTGGAACGTAATTAAAATTAAGTGGTCACTTTACAAATATTTAATTTTTTTTTTTTTTTTTTTTTTTTTTTTTTTTTTTTTTCAGTTTACAATTATTAATCGTAATTTAACAATATAACAATATATAAACTTGGTATCTGAAAGAAGATCCAAATGATCTTGTCGCCAGAACCATATAAAAGATATAATACGTGTATATATAATAAAATAAAATATAATTGATCAAATAACTAATAACAATGTAGAAGAAACAAAAACTGAAAATAATTTTACAAATTATCCAGAGTAAAAAAAAAAAATTTTACATTTCAAAAATATTCATATATATTGCCAGTAGAAAGAATATAGTTTTTTAATTTAGTTTTGAAAACGGAAAACGAAATCGACAAATCAAAATTTGGAACAACAATTTTGTTCCATAAATACGGTGCTCTATAGTTTATGCAAAATTGATTAAACTTTGTTTGACAAAAGGGTTCAATTAATAAATTATTATTTCGTAAAGCATATTTGTTTATAGCTTTATAAGTAAAAAGATCTTTGAAATTGGACAATGGTCGTTCACTTTTACAACGAAACATAAAACATAAAATATTATAGACATTGAGTTCGTAAACGTTAAGTGCTTTAACGTTTTTAAATAAAATATATGAATGAGAAAAACGATTTTCGAAACATATTAAACGCATTGCGTGTTTCTGACGATGGTAAAGACTTTGTAACTTACTTTTAGAGGTACTTCCCCAAACAATATTTGCATAATTTATATAGCTATGAATAAACGAGTAGTAAAGTTGAATTAAATTTTGTTTACTTAGATAGTATCTGACCTTATATAGAATTCCAATACTTTTAGCCAATTTAGTAGAAATATAGTCGATATGATACTTCCATGTAATATTTTCATCAATGTAAATGCCTAAAAATCTTGTGACCGACTCCTTTTTTATTTCAATTTTATCAATAAAAAGTTTAGGCAATTTATTTGGTAAAAAACGCTTTTTAGCAAGAGAGTGGAAAAGGATCCACTTTGTTTTGTCAATGTTTAAAGTTAACTTGTTGCACTTAAACCAGTTGGAGATCTGATTGAGTTCATTATTCATATTTGAAAAAAGCTCATAAATGCTACTGTTTGACAGAAATAAATTAGTATCGTCCGCAAAATTTATACTCATAAGGTTAGAAGCTTTATTTAAATCATTTGTATAAACTAAAAACAAAAGTGGGCCTAGAATAGAACCCTGTGGAACACCACATTTTATGTCAATTAATTTTTCATTTTGAAAATAATCTCCATAGAAAACAAATTGTTTTCTATTTTCCAAGTAACTTTGATACCATTTTATTAATTTGCCATTAATTCCGTAAAATTTGAGTTTTTTAAGTAGAATTTTGTGATCGACCGTGTCGAATGCTTTTGATAGGTCAATGAAAATACCTAATGTATATTGTGATCTACCAAATGAATCGGAGATTTCACGAATGAACTGTGTAATGGCTTGTTAAGTTGAACAATTTTTTTTAAAACCGAATTGATTTTTATATAGAAGTTTATTTAGATTAAGGTAATTGTATTTTCTATTGTATATAATTCTTTCTAAAATTTTTGAGAAAGTTGAAAGAACTGAGATGGGGCGATAATTACTAATATTTGATTTTTTTCCGTTTTTGTATATAGGAGTTACTTTAGCTATTTTTAATTGGTCGGGGAATACACCTTGCTGTATAGATGCCCTAAAGACTTTATAAAGAATACACTTTAAGTTTTCAAAGCAATCTATGACTATGTTGCCATTTATTTCGTCCGCACCCGTAGCTTTGTTTCTTTTGAGAGATTTGTAAGCTATCTCAAACTCATCAAAAGATAAGTCAGAATGTAAATTATCTGTAAAAAGCGAATTATTTATAGGCTCTAGGAAATCACTAAAATTTTTTTCTGTAATAGGGATCTTGTTTGCCAATTTGGTTCCTATGTCAATGAAATATTTATTAAACTCGTTTGCAATTTCGTTTGGTTCATATATATTTGTTTTATTTATTTTAATTACTTTAGGAAGGGAGTTTGAATTTGTTTTTTGTTTTCCTGTTATTTCTTTCAACGTTCTCCAAGTATTTTTTGAGTCGTTTTTAAATTTACTAATTAAATTTGAATAATAATTTTTTTTTTAATTTTTTACGAATTTTTTCAAATAAATGTTGGTAATTTTTATATTTTTGTTGGTTTTTATTTGATTTTGTTTTTAGATATTTTATATATAGTTTCTGTTTTATTTTAGAGGATTTTTTAAGTCCTTTGGTAATCCATGGACTATTTAAGGTTTTTATTTTTGTTATTTTTTCACAAAGTGGAAAGTTTGCATCGTATATTGAGAAGAACGTATCAAAGAATTTATTATATATTGTATTTGCGTCTTCATTAAAGTTAATATGTTTCCAATGCAGAAGTGATAATTGATATTGGAAGGATTTTATATTGCTCTCATTGAAGACACGTTTTTTTATTATATTTTGTCTTTCGGGGTTATTAGAGGATACAGTATGGATTGTTAGAAAAATGGGGAAATGATCGGATATGTCGGTTTTTATAATTCCTTTTTTTAATTTTCTATTATAAATATCCGTTGTAAAAATATTATCAATCAACGTAGTTGAAGTTTTGGTTATTCTAGTAGGGCGATTAATTAAAGGAACAGCTCCTGCCATAAGTATTTCATCATAAAAACTTTTTATTTTTTTATCTTTATTAAAAATTAAACAGTTCATGTTGAAATCTCCAATTATAAAAGTAATTTTGTTTTCTTTGCTACCTTTGTGAATGATATTTTGCTGTAAAAAGAAACTAAGATTTTCAGACGCACCATCAGGTGGTCTATAACAGCAGCTTAATAGAATATTATTTTTTTTATTGTTTAAAATTTCAATAGTTAAGATTTCTTTATCACCGTCAGAAACGCACATATCATTCCTAATGTTATGCGCAATGTGTTCCTTAACGTAAATCAGAACTCCTCCACCGCGTTTATTTGTTTGTCTTTCTAATAAAATTGTTTCAAAACCTGGAAGATGGAAAATAGAATTATTTTTAAAATCATTCGAAGAAATCCACGTTTCTGTTAAGCAAATTATGTTAAAAATATTTTCAGTTTCATCTAAAAAATCGCAAAACTTTTCAAAATTTGTATTTAGACTTCTAATATTAATGTGAAGGATTCTTATTTTTTGATTTTCAGTGCCATTTTTATTAAGAAATTCTTTTAACTCGTTGGGATAAAAATAAGAACAACATGTGTTCACATCATTAAAAAAGTTGACATCTGGATCTGAATTAAAATTTGATTTTAAGTACTTATCATGAAAATTAAAAGTAATGGATTCGTAGTCATCCATTTTTGTTTTTAAATTTAATTATAGAATATTAAAAGAATTTCTTTATAATAGGTCGCGCGTAATTAATTTATTATTAACTACTTTAGCAAACTTACCTTTCGCTCTCCATTCTTTCGCTTCTTTGAAAAGCTTTCTGCGTAAATCCATTGTAAAATCGCTAAAGTCTTCGTTAACGTACAACCGTTCGTTCCATAGCTTCATCGTCGTATATTTGTTTAACACTAAGGCTTTGTCTTTGTAGTTTTGAAACCGAACAATTATTGATCTGTTTTTTCCGTTTTCTTTTCCAACTCGATGGGCTCTATCTATTAAAATTTTTTCTTGTATATTAAGCTTTGTATTGAGGAAGTCTTTGATTTTTTGCTCACTTTCTTCCCAAGTTTCATTAGCTTTATCTTTAATCCCAATAAATCTCAAGTTGTTTCTACGACTTCTGTCTTCTAGTTCTGCTATTTTCTCTTTTATGTTATTAGTTCCATTTTCAATATTACTTTCATCTGGTGATTTTTTAGATTCTGTTTTTTTTAATTCTGTAAGTTCAATTATTATTTTATCATAGCTTTTACTTATAAATTCGACAGCTTTCTGTACCTCAGATAATTCTTTTTTTAACGTAAAGTTTTCATCTTTTAAGTTATTAAATTTAATTTCCATTTTTTCTATCCGATCATTAAAAATTTTCATCATAGTATTCTCGTGATTTTCAAGGATTTCTTTAAGTTGTGCTGGTGTAAAGTTTTTCGCCATTATTATAAGTTTTTTAATAAGCTCTTGAAACACGTCCGTTCGCGGTGAAAGTGGCGGTGAAAAAAAAAAAAAAAAAAAAAAAAAAAAAAAAAGTTAATTGACCCATTAAAAAGTTAATTGACCCATTAGAGTTAAGTTGTTTCCTGGAACCGGCCCCAGATTGAAAAAAGACATTAAAGAAATTATTAATGTGCTTATTAACGTCATAGTCAAAAATGTTGATGTTAATGTCACCAATAAAATACACACTTTTATTACAACTTGATTTATTTTTAATTATACTTTTAAAGTGATTTTTGAACGCATTAATTTTTCCTGTAGGCGGTCTATATAACGCATGCACAATTATATTTCTTGAGGTTTTGGTAATGATTTTTACCACTGATCTCAAAATATAACTGGATAGCGGATTCTATTGTTTTTTCCGAAAAAAGTTGAAGCCAAAATTGGTCTCCCAAGATGGCGGCGATTTTAGTTCCTAGCGGTGAAACCGATATACATTATATTTTACTTTATCAAAATACAAAAAAAAATAATTAAACAAGATTGTAAACTTGTAAGAAACAGAAGAAAATAATGAATTTTATAATTAATAATGAAAATAAAGGAATTATCTTTTTTTATAATTGAATTTGTTATTAAATGGCATTAGTAAAATTTACAATTTTATTTTAAAATATAACTGGATAGCGGATTCTATTGTTTTTTCCGAAAAAAGTTGAAGCCAAAATTGGCCTCCCAAGATGGCGGCGATTTTAGTTCCTAGCGGTGAAACCGATATACATTATATTTTACTTTATCAAAATACAAAAACAAATAATTAAACAAGATTGTAAACTTGTAAGAAACAGAAGAAAATAATGAATTTTATAATTAATAATGAAAATAAAGGAATTATCTTTTTTTATAATTGAATTTATTATTAAATGGCATTAGTAAAATTTACAATTTTAGTTTTATGTATAACTTATGTACCTTTTAGTTCTTAGCTACCCAATACTGTATGCTAGAAAGTTAATAACATAACAGCATGGTAAGCAGCAATCATGTCTACCTATAATTTTATATTCTCTATTTTTTGTAACAAGATACCAATTTGTAAAAATGCTGCATGAACTATTAATTGAGAATTGTGAGTACACAGAAACTCAAGGGTTTCTTCTAGAATTATATTATACTTGAATGCTAATATTGCATAAGTTGTCACTTATACTGTTAAAAAAAAAACAGGTCTGAATTATGTTATTTATAACAAATTTTAAAACAAATAAAAAGTTAATGATCATTTTATACTTAATTACTCAATACAATTAAGGACGCAAATGTATGTAAAAATACATTTGTTTGAAAAAAATGTATTAATTAAATCTTTAATATAAAAATAATCAAAACATCTCTTTGAATTATCTTCATAAATAAAGTTATACTGTTTACCTGCTGTTAAGTATTGTGGTTATATGCTATAGTTTGCTGACTTTTATGTTAACTAAATGGATGTTGCAGTTAAACAATTTTATAAATTTATAATATTGTCTAGTCTAAAAACTGGTTTTATTGGATAGTTGGTAGCTATTAAATCTGTTTAAGATATATTTCTAAACTGAGTGGGAAAAGTAGGTTAAAATTATAAATAAAATTCTTTTAAACCATAAAATTATTAAATATATAAGCTTTTTATTAGAGCTGTGCGGGAATGTTTAACAACAATATCAATTGCCAACAATTCACAGCCAAGTATATATCTTGATGTCACATATATATGATCTTGAGCGTTCAATATTAAAATGGAATAATCACAAATATCTGCATAATCTTGGTAATATTGACCATGACTATGCAGATATTCCAAATTGCAGCATTCTATTTGAATTCAAAAAATTTCATAGATTGCTGGATAAACAGCTAAAATGATATAAAATAAATAATCTGCATTAAATGTATATATTTATATAACTTTTTATTTAGTTGTACTCTTCTAAAATCACTACACACACATATGTTTGTATATATATATATATATATATATATATATATATATATATATATATATATATATATATATATATATATATATATATATATACAAACATATATGTGTGTGTAGTGATTTTAGAAGAGTACAACTAAATAAAAAATAATGTACAAATAATTACATATAAAAAAATTCTAGACGGAACCCCTGAGTTGTGTATACTCACAGAGCTCAGCTAATAGTTCATGCAGCATTTGTAAATTTATAATATCTATTTAAAAAACTAATTAAAAGTTTATTTTAAAAAGATATTCAGCTGCCTACCATGCAGTTATGTTATTAACCTTCTAGCACACAGCATTGGGTAGTTAAGAACTAAAAGGTACATAAATTGTATAAAAAGCAATATTAAACATTTAATTTACGGTAAATCTAAATAAATGTTATAATATACCATTTATTTACTTTTCATTTTAGTTTTACCATAAATAAACTTTTTATCTGTATATCATATAAAAATAAAAAATGATTAAAATGATTTCAGTCTTTCACATTTCAAACATTTATTTTCGTTGTCTAGAAATTGTTAATAACTACTAGAGTCTTATTTTAATTCCACTAATAGGTTATAACTAGTTATAACTAATAACTAATAAGTTATAACTAGTAATAAGCTATTAATAATAGGTTATCACTAGTTATATAGAGTAACCTAGTAGTTTATCTACTAGGTTTTAGGTACTATTTTTTTGTGTGCTCTTTACTAATGTTAAAATAAACTAGTTTCTAGTTAATTTAACTAAAATTTTTTATCCTATTTAATCAAATTTTTTACAAAAAAAAAGATTTAATGACAAACAAACTTACTGTTTAGAAATTACTTACTGTTTAGAAATTAAATAAAATAAACTTACTGACAAACAAACTTACTGTTTAGAGTATATTTTGTTAAACAAAATATTATAAATATTTTAGAAATTTACGTAAATATGTTATATTGTTTCTATGTAAAACCAAAAATTATATTTGTATTTAAGACTTGTACATTTATTTTTATATAAAAAAAGATATAAAAGTTCGTTACAAAAATTTCTAAATTTGTAATAAACAAATACGCCGCCATCTTGGGAGGCCAAAACTGGCTTCAAAAAATTTGCCGTATACGCTATCCAGTTATATTTTGAGATCAGTGGATTTCTACGCATAACGATTCATAGTCATTAGTGGTTGAACTTAAGTTTTGCGTTAATTTGTATGATAACGAATTAATAATAAATATACATAAACCCCCACCTTCCTTGCCCCAACCTCTAACTTGGTGAACCACATTGTAATTAGGTATTTGGAAATTTGAATCGTTTTCAATATTTTTATCATGACACCAAGTTTCGCTAAGGCAAATAATGTTAAAACTAATTTTGATTTTATATAAAAACTGTTTTAATGATTCAAAGTTTTTTTGAATACTCCTAATATTAATATGGAAAATTGAAAATGAGTTATCATCCATTCCTTCCGTTATATTTTTTGAGTTTGAGTTAAAATATAATGGATTAACATGTTTAATTACTTCATTATTATTATAAAAATTAAAATCAGGATCCGAACTTTGATGTAAAAGTGTTGAACTATTAATTTCAAATGTTTTAAACTCAAAATCGGATCTGTCAGTTTCGTCAGCCATTTTAAATAAGAGTAGTTTTAATAAAAAAAAAAAAAATGATTATTCAAATTGATTTCTTAAAATCCTTTACAATTAATTTATCGTAAATAACAGTACAATACTTACCGTTGTTCCTGCGTATTTTTCTTTCAACGAATAATTTTTTTCGTGTTATTGCTGTTTTTACCGAATAATCTTCGTTTATAAATATTCCCGAACCTTTAAGTTTGTTTGCATTTTTCAGAATTTTTACTTTCTCTTTATAATCAAGTAACTTGATCACGATAGTTCTTGGCTTTTCTGTATTAGGCTTTCCTGTCCGATGTGCTCTTTCTATTTTTACTCCATTTACATTTAAATTATTTTCAAGTATATTCATTATTTTAATTTCCGAATCATCCCAACTTTCCGACTCGTTTTCAGCAATTCCTTCAAATCTTAAGTTATTTCTTCTTTGCCGATCTTCCAGTTGTCGAATTCTTTCTTTGTCTTTGCTAAACTAGACAAACTTAAACTAGATAAACTAGATAAACTAGATAAACTTGCTAAAGTAACATTTAGAATTTATGAAAGTAAATGCAACTAACAAAGCATATAAAATTAAAAACAGAGGAGCAAATTTTTAATGAGAAAAAGATATACTTGCTAATGGATTGATAATATTTTTATGAATTATGGAATTTGCAGCATTCAAATTGTGACATAGAAACAAAACAATTCTCGTTAACGTCCCAGTGGGCACCCGACGTCAATCCGACGTCGGATTTACGTTTGATTTTCATCAGCGATGTCAAAAGACCTATTCCGACGTTGTTCCGATGTCAGTAAAATGACGTCGAGCGATGTCTTTATCTCAACATCCCCTGACGTCGTTTCGATGTATTTTGACGTTGTTCCTACATCTTATAAAAGACGTCCAAAAAACGTCGCAGTACTGACATCGATCCAACGTCGATAAAAAGACGTCGGGCAACGTCGTAATATTAACGTACTCCGATGTCTTTTGACGTCTTCCGACGTCAATCCAACGTCCTTAAAACGACGTCGGAACAACGTCGTAAGACATCGCTGATGAAAATTTAATCCAAACCCAACAATATGTGTGCAATTGCGCTCTTCAATAATTATGTGAACTAAGCGTGTTTTTTTATTAATGGAAAAAAGTTTGAATAAAGGTTGATAAAACATCATGAGGTTTTGTATGATGCACTAGCATAGTTTTTTAACTATTAACATTTTCGAGTATACATTTTTTATAATATATAACTATTCGTTTTAATATTTATATAATATTTAAACAAAATTATTTCTTATCAAAGTAATAATTCCCAAATAGCTGCAAGTATAAATTACTAAATAAACTCATCAATTAATATGTCCTTGTGGTGTAGTGGTAAGCGCATAGGATTTTGTGACTAATAGACC